CCCACCCCAAGCCCCACCCCCATCTCCTACCTACTAACCTCATCCTGAACCCTTGACCTGTCTGTCCTCCCTGGACTGACCTATCCCTTCCCTAACTTCCCACCTACACTCACCTTTACTGGCTCCACCCCCTCCTCTTTGACCTGTCTGTCTCCTCTCCAACTATCTTCTCCTCTATCCATCTTCTATCCACCTCCCCCGCTCTCCCTATTTATTTCAGAATCCCCTTCCCCTCCCCCATTTCTGAAGAAGGGTCTAGGCCCGAAACGTCAGTTTTCCTGCTCCTCTGATGTTGCTTGGCCTGCCTTGTTCATCCAGCTGTACACCTTGTCATCCTAGGACAAATACTTTTTTGTGACCAGTATAATTTGTTTGGATTCAGCCTTATCGACATCCCATTCTTTGAATTCCCTATGTACAATGAGTTGTTTTGAGGAACTTGCAACTCTCCTTTGGCAATTCATTGCCAAAATGATGCTTCAATTTATTCCTGAAGTAGCTATTAACTATCTCCTAGCAGCTCCTGGGAATTAGCCAATAAGGCCGTAGAATCCCTACAGTGTAGAAACAGGCCATTTGGCCCATTGAGTCTACACGGACTCTCTGAAGAATATCACATCCAGACCCTTCGCCCCCACCCTGCCCCCCACCCTATCCCCATTACCCTGCTCTTCCCATGGCTAATGCACCTGACCTACACATCCCTGAATACTATAGATGATTTAGCATGGTCAATCCACTCAACTTGCACATGTTTGGACTGATGTGATTATTATTGCTGTTCCAATTTTGTCTTGCACTGTAGTAGCCTGATTGTTCAAAGTGTGTTCATCCTTGCGGAATGTTGAATTTTTTCCATGTAAAGTGAAGGAAATGACTGTGTGTTTGTTTTCACCAAGAATGTTTTCAAGGCAATGGGCCCAAAAGATCCTTCTCCCGGAACTGAACTACCATCAGAACCTGCCCCAATGAAACACCTTGGCACAATCCTCAAACCTAAACATAAATACTGACCCTGGGACACCCTAATTAACTGTGCAGTCAACCATTTATATAAACTGTGAAAATCCATGATCTATTTCTCCAGGGAATAGCCATCTGTTCTTTTCAAAATCTATCAAAGTCCAGCCACGCCTCATAAAAATAAGCATTTAACAGATAATCTTCCATTGGTTGTATGGTTGAGATTCAGAGAATATCAGAAGTTAGTCATTTTACACTTGTGCTCTGCCATTTTCCATCATGACTACTAAAGTTATAGTTTGTGTCCATGAATTCTTTTTTTGTCTTTCAACATGCACCTTTAGATAACCTTTATAATTTGCCAATATATTCTATATTATTCTAAGCCATTTTTTTAAAAAATCCATTCATGGGATGTGGACATCACTGGCCAGGCCAGCATTTATTTCCCATCCCTAATTAAGTGGCAGTTAAGTGTAAACCACATTGCTGTGGTCTGGAGTCACATGTAGGCCAAACCAGGTAAGGACAGCAATTTCCTTCCCAGTTGGTGAAGGCTAGATCTGGTGCCAATCTTTGCACACTTTTATATTTATGTGCAGAGTTGCATATTACAAGCACATATCTTCCAACCCAACCAGCTCAGCCTAGGTTGTGCACATATAGTAGGCCTCAAGTGAAAGCCCAGTCAATGCCCATGCACAAGCAATTACATGCAACTAATCCATAATTCGTACAACTCTCACGGGTGAAAGAAGAATGTTGGCCAAGACGCCAGGCTGTTCATCAAATCTGACAATGGAATCTCTAATGACAAAACCCAGTGTCAGACAGATGCTGTCTAATGCAGTGCTTCCTCCATGCAGTACTGAAACATCAGCTGAGATTGTGGTCACGTTTTCAAGATGTGGCTTGAACCCACAGCCTTCTGACTCAATGGGTGAGAGTTTTACTACCTAAGACAAGCTCTCCCCGTTGTGAAGAGCCCGCTGACACTCCCGTTCACATTAGGTGGACAATTTTTTTTTAAGCCATAAAGTTCATTATCCCAACTAAGATGCGCAAATGTGTTATAAAATGGGTTTAATGCAAAGTAAACGTATGTGCACACAAGAAGCCCTCCCACAGATCAGGCACAATGCAGCTTTGATGTAGGTAAAGTTCCTTCTGTACTTTTGGGTACAGGTTTTTAAAAAAAAATAGATTTTAGTAATCAATACTGTTTACTTTTAGCTTCTACTCCTCTATTATTTTGTATTCACCAGCTCTGCATTTCCTACACTTCAACATAACTCACTCCCTTGGCCTCCTTCAGGTATATGTTAATCACACTGAGCAACAAGTCAGTATGCAAGGCCAGTTCAATGAATACACCTTTTAATTCCCCCTTCCTCCGTTATACCATTGTTGATAATCAGAAGATCCTTCTGTGACAACTTAAAGCCCACATCCTACCACTTTACATCACGATGGGTTAGCACAGTCAGTATGTTGTATGGCAGAGTTTTAAAATTACTTCAGATGGAGAATTATCCTCCTTGTTCTCTACACCAGACATTTTCTTTGGCATATCACTTTGTTCCATCTGAGGAAATTTTTTAAAAATGATTTCATTCAGAAGGGGTGGCATCTTCTTCAGTTCGTGCGTCAATACTTAGTCTATTACCTCAAGGCAGACCTAAGAACTGGAAAAGACCCAGTGCCAACAGTACTGATGACCAGCACTGAGGCTGTGAGCAGAGATGTAGGCATTGGACAGTCAAGGGCTGAATGGCCTTCTCTGCTGTAATTTCTGAGGAAATCCAGGCATGATATTCTCTGTTTACACCCCTGCACTACTGGCACACAGAAGTGTGAAAGGTGTGGCTGTAACACCAGTGTCCTCGATAGAAGGGACAACCTACCCAGTTGACTTACACGTGACTCCAGTCCTGCAGGGATGTGGTTGACTCCTAACTGCCCTGTAGTGTAGTGTTTCAATTGGTTTGATTGGAAGAAGAGTACGGGGAGGCAATGGCCTAGTGGTATTATCGCTGGACTGTTAATCTAGAGAACCAGATAACATTCTGCAGACCCGGGTGTGAATCCCACAACGGCAGATCGTGGAATTTGAATTCAATAAACTATCTGGAATTTAAGAATCTAATGATGACCATGAGCCTATTGCCAATTGTTGGGAAAAACCCATCTGGTTTACTAATGTCCCTTTTAGGGAAGGAAACTGCCGTCCTTACCTGGTCTGGTTTACATGTGACTCCAGACCCACAGCAATGTGGTTGATTCTGAACTGCCCTCTGAACAATTCGGGATGAGCAATAAATGTTGCCCAGCCAGCGATACCCTCATCCTGTGAATGAATTAAAAAAAGAGTAACAAGTGGTGGTAAATCAGTATGAGTCTTGTCAGTGTTGCCCACCTCCAGGGAGTAATGTTTATAAATAGTATTGGCTTGATCATTAGTAGGAAATGTACTGGCACAAAGGCTGCTTGGGAAAGCTAATGTGCCTGTACTTACTCTCTGCCCCTTTATTATTGCCCCTCCCCCTTCTTCCCCCTTTACACCCTGCCTGCCTGTTCAATGTACATAGAGAGTTATATCCACCATGTCTAGATTATGGGCTCTGAATGCCCAGGCTGGTGCCAGGAAGCACAGGAGTATTGGTGAACCAAGCAGTGGAGGGCAATGCCACTCAAACCCTGTAGGTTTGGTTGTGGAGACAGACGTGAGAAGTAAATAGTAGGAACACTACACCAATAGCCTTTTTAATGAAGGTAAAGTTGCCATACTCGCAGAGGACCACGGGGCTGCTCTGTCGTCAGAGAGAGCCAACCAGCAGTGGTTTAACCTGAGGGTCACCGAGCCTCTGGCAAAGGGAGTGTTGAGAAGGAGAGCCCTTCGTGGTAAGAATATTTATCACAGATCAGTTGTGCTGGGAGAAGCAGATGTTTATAAAGGCTTATGACAGGCCACACTTCCATTGGTTAAAACACCACTGCTAATATGACATGACCTGACTGCTTCACTATATGTTAGTCCATGTAACATATGCCACAAAGACTGGGTTGTTGTTGAGACAGATGTCTTGAAATTTACTAACACTAACTATGCTCACTTAGGTCTCAGACTTGCATATACTTTGGGTTTTGTGCTTATTTTTGTTACTATTTTGTTATATTGCAGAGTAGACCACACTGCACTGAACCTGCTTAACTGAATGCCTGTTTAACTGAGAGTAAAATTGGAGGCATTTAACTCAACAGTCTCACATGTTGTGATGTTGTCTAACTACCTTTAATATTATCGCTCAGATCTCACTAAAGCATGATACCTTTAATTATTGCCAACAGTTGTCAGCGGCAACTTAAATTGGCCTGTAGTACAGGCTGTTGCAAAGGTTGAGGAAACCTGCTGTAACTTTATCATTTTGTCAGTTCATTGATTTTTGGTATCTTTTTCACAAAACTTTTCTTTTCGTTTTCCCCCTCAGCGTCCACAAGGCAGTGATCCGAGTCTTCCAGGGAGGAAGTTTACAAGACAATGAACTGTTCTCTCTGAATGAAAACATACGGTAAATATCCCAGATAAGGTTGAAGCTAGCAAACTGCGTAATACTTACAATTAATGTAAAACTGGTTTATGCACCAAAGTCACACCCCTCCAGAAGAAGACTGGTCTGTACTCAATCTGGACTATGTGCGACACCAGTCTCCCAAAGATGCAATTAATTCTTAACTGCCCTCTGAAGTGGCCTTAGTAAGCCATTCGGATTTGTCAAAAGTATTAAAAAGGAGGACGAAACCACGTAGAACTGCAGTAGGATAAGACTATGATCCACCACTTTCTCAGAGCTACTCTGTAAGCTGTTCCCATTGCAGAGCATCATAAGAAAGCCAAATGGAATCTCGGCATTTATTGCAAAAGGACTGGGTTACATAGAACATAGAACGTAGAACATTACAGCGCAGTACAGGCCCTTCGGCCCTCGATGTTGCGCCGACCTGTGAAACCTATCTGAAGCCCAACGAACCTACACTATTCCATTATCATCCATATGTTTATCCAATGACCATTTAAATGCCCTTAAAGTTGGCAAGTCTACAACTGTTGCAGGCAGGGCATTCCATGCCCTTACTACTCTCTGAGTAAAGATCCTTCCTATAATGCGGCGACCAGAACTGTACGCAATACTCCAAGTGCGGCCGCACCAGAGTTTTGTACAGCTGCAACATGACCTCATGGCTCCGAAACTCAATCCCTCTACCAATAAAACCTAACATACCATACGCATTCTTAACAATGCTATCAACCTGGGTGGCAACTTTCAATGATCTATGCACATGGACACCGAGATCTCTCTGCTCATCCACACTACCAAGAATCTTACCATTAGCCCAGTACTCTGTATTCCTATTACACCTTCCAAAGTGAATCACCTCACACTTTTCCGCATTAAACTCCATTTGCCACCTCTCAGCCCAGCTCTGCAGCTTATCTATGTCCCTCTGTAACCTGCAACATCCTTCCGCACTATCCACAACTCCACCGACTTTAGTGTCATCCACAAATTTACTAACCCATCCTTCTACGCCCTCATCCAGGTCATTTATAAAAATGACAAACAGCAGTGGTCCCAAAACAGATCCTTGCGGTACACCACTAGTAACTGAACTCCAGGATGAACATTTCCCATCAACCACCACCCTCTGTCTTCTTACAGCTAGCTAATTTCTGATCCAAACCGCTAAATCACCCTCAATCCCATGCCTCCGTATTTTCTGCAATAGCCTACCGTGGGGAACCTTATCAAACGCTTTACTGTAATCCATATACACTACATCAACCACTTTACCCTCATCCACCTGTTTGGTCACCTTCTCAAAGAACTCAATAAGGTTTGTGAGGCACGACCTACCCTTCACAAAACCGTGTTGACTATCCCTAATCAAATTATTCCTTTCTAGATGATTATAAATCCTATCTCTTATAAATCTTTCCAACACTTTACCCACAACCGAAGTAAGGCTCGCTGGTCTATAATTACCAGGGTTGTCTCTACTCCCCTTCTTGAACAAGGGGACAACATTTGCTAGTCTCCAGTCTTCTGGCACTATTCCTGTAGACAATGACGACATAAAGATCAAAGCCAAAGGCTCTGCAATCTCCTCCCTAGCTTCCTAGAGAATCCTAGGATAAATCCCATCCGGCCCAGGGGACTTATCTATTTTCACACTTTCCAGAATTGCTAACACCTCCTCCTTATGAACCTCAATCCCGTCTAGTCTAATAGCCTGTATCTCAGTATTGTCCTCGACAACGTTGTCTTTTTCCTGTGTGAATACTGACGAAAAATATTCATTTAGCGCCTCTCCTATCTGTTCGGACTCTACGCACAACTTCCCACTACTGTCCTTGACTGGCCCTAATCTTACTCTAGTCATTCTTTTATTCCTGACATACCTATAGAAAGATTTTGGGTTTTCCTTGATCCTACCTGCTAAAGACTTCTCATGTCCCCTCCTGGCTCTTCTTAGCTCTCTCTTTAGGTCCTTCCTGGCTAACTTGTAACTCTCAAGCGCCTTAACTGAGCCTTCACGCCTCATCTCTACATAAGCCTCCTTCTTCCTCTTGACAAGAGATTCAACTTCTTTAGTAAACCACGGTTCCCTCGCTCGACCACTTCCTCCCTGCCTGACAGGTACATATTTATCAAGGACACGCAGTAGCTGTTCCTTGAACAAGCTCCACATTTCAATTGTACCCAGCCCCTGCAGTTTCCTTCTCCATCCTATGCATCCTAAATCTTGCCTAATCACCCCATAATTGCCTTTCCCCCAGCTATAACTCTTGCCCTGAGGTATATACCTATCCCTTTCCATCGCTAAAGTAAACATAACCGAATTGTGGTCACTATCACCAAAGTGCTCACCTACCTCCAAATCTAACACCTGGCCTGGTTCATTACCCAGTACCAAATCCAATGTGGCCTCGCCTCTTGTTGGCCTATCTACATACTGTGTCAGGAAACCCTCCTGCACACATTGGACAAAAACTGACCCATCTAAAGTACTCAAACTATAGCGTTTCCAGTCAACATTTGGAAAGTTAAAGTCCCCCATAACAACTACCCTGTTACTTTCGCTCCTATCCAGAATCATCTTTGCAATCCTTTCCTCTACATCTCTGGAACTTTTCGGAGGCCTATAGAAAACTCTCAACAGGGTGACCTCTCCTTTCCTGTTTCTAACCTCAGCCCATACTACCTCAGTAGACGAGTCCTCATCAAACGTCCTTTCTGCCACTGTAATACTGTCCTTGATTAACAATGCCACACCTCCCCCTCTTTTACCACCTTCCCTGATCTTACTGAAACAGCTAAACCCCGGAACCTGCAACAACCATTCCTGTCCCTGCTCTATCCATGTCTCCGAAATAGCCACAACATCGAAGTCCCAGGTACCAACCCATGCTGCAAGTTCACCCACCTTATTCCGGATGCTCTTGGCATTGAAGTAGACACACTTCAAACCACCTTCCTGCCTGCCGGTACACTTCTGCGACCTTGAAACCTTATTCACTACTCTCAACCTCCTGTACACTGGAGCTACAATTCAGGTTCCCAGCCCCCTGCTGAATTAGTTTAAACCCTCCCGAAGAGCATTAGCAAATTTGCCCCCCAGGATATTGGTACCCCTCTGGTTCAGGTGTAGACCATCCCGTTTGTAGAGGTCCCACCTACCCCAGAATGAGCCCCAATTATCCAGGTATCTGAACCCCTCCCTCCTGCACCATCCCTGTAGCCACATGTTCAACTGCTGTCTCTCCCTATTCCTCGCCTCGCTAGCACGTGGCACGGGTAACAAACCAGAGGTAACAACTCTATTTGTTCTAGCTCTAAGTTTCCACCCTAGCTCCTTGAATTTCTGCCTTACATCCCCATCCCTTTTCCCACCTAAGTCGTTGGTGCCTATGTGGACCACGACTTGGGGCTGCTCCCCCTCCCCCTTAAGGATCCCGAAAACATGATCCGAGATATTACGGACCCTGGCACCTGGGAGGCAACATACCAACCGCGAGTCTCTCTCGTTCCCACAGAATCTCCTATCTGTCCGCCTAACTATGGAGTCCCCAATGACTAATGCTCTCCTCCTCTCCCCCCTTTCCCTTCTGAGCAACAGGGACAGACTCTGTGCCAGAGACCTGTACCCCATGGCTTACCCCTGGTAAGTCATCCTCCCCAACAGTATCCAAAACGGTATACTTGTTATTGAGGGGAACGGCCACAAGGGATCCCTGCACTGTTTGCCTGTTCCCTTTCTGTCCCCTGACTGTAACCCATCTACCTTCTTCCTGTACCTGAGGTGTGACTACCTCCCTGTAACTCCTCTCATTTACCCCCTCAGCCTCCCGAATGATCCGAAGTTCGTCCAGCTCCAGCTCCAGTTCCCTAATGCGGTTTCCGAGGAGCTGGAGTTGGGTGCACTTCCCACAGATGAAGTCAGTGGGGACACTAGTGGTGACCCTTACCTCCCACATTCTACAGGAGGAGCATGCAACTGCGCTAACATCCATTCCCACTGTTCTGAATTCCCAAACAGACTATTGAAAAAAAAACTAGTAACCTTACCAAATTGGCACTCAGAACCTTTCTTTTTGGTTAGAGCAGGAGGATGGGTGGGAAACACTACCTAGGTAGTGTTTCGGGTAAAGCAACCACCCAAATATATTACCTCACTTACTCACTCCAAAAATGGAGTCACGCGAGGTAAGACTTTTATTATCGAAAAGCTTGCCTTCCCAGGGTGCCCTTTACGAAAGTAAAGACACGTTGTTACAATTATATAAGGCTTTCATTGAGTATTGTGTCCGAGTTTGGTCTCCTTACATGAAGAAGGATGTGGTAGCACTGGAGGCAGTTCATTGAGACATTGAATCCAGGGATGAATGGGCTACCATCTGAGGAGTAATTGAATAGCTTGGGCTTGTATGCCTTGGAGTTCAGAAGAATGGGTGGAGGGGGATGGAGTCTGATTGAGGCTGAAGGGGGTTGATAAGGTGGACATTGAACAGATGTTCCCCTTGTGGGACACTCTCAAGGAAGTGGTGTAGATATTAAGGAGAGGACGTAGGTTCAAAACTGAGTTGAGGAGAAACTACCCCTTTCAGAGGGTTGTGCATCTGTGGAACTCACTGCCCCAGAGTGCAGTGGAGGTAGAACATTCAACAGATTTGAGAAAAAAATAGATGTGTTCCTGATGAAAAGCTATAGAAGGGCTATAGGGAACAGGCAGCACAGTGGAGTTGAGACCAGGATAAGATCAGCCATGATTGTGTTAAATGGTGCAGAGGGCTCAAAGGGCTGAAATGCCTACTCCCGCTCCTAATTCCTATGTTTCTATGCCTCTTGTAACTGTTCTTGGACTTTAGAATCTTGTAAAGAGCAAAATCAGACCATCACAGGTTGAGTTTAAGCAGAAACTTATTCATTAAAATAAACTTTCAAACGCTGTGATACAAAACTTCCAAGCTGGTACAGATGGCACAATGCCTTGGTCAGTTTATCTGATTTCA